CCCCGCTTCCCCCCGGGCCTGCTGCCGGGCCTCCCCCTGCGGCCCCGCGGGAGCCCCGGGCACGGGGTCCTTGCCCTCCTCTCAGTCCCTCGCCCTCGGCAGCTCCGTGACGCAGCCGGTTTTGTTCGTTTGGAGACGAACAGCTAACAGTCGCCTTGAGCCTTCTTTCCAGGACTGGGATGGGTCCGTGATCGCAGAGGGAGCACCGCGGCCGGCCTGTCCAGAAGCCGCGTGGCCTCGAGCCGCTCCTCGGCCTCTCGGTTCGGTTTGGTGTGGGAACCTTGGGACGACCGGACAGCGAGGGGCTCTGACACCGCCCTCCGCAGCTACTGCCAGTTGCCTCCTGTCCTCCCGGAGAGGGAGGTGGCAGCACCCGCCTCTGAGCGTCTGGGCTTGGGGAAGGAGGTGCTGCAAAATGGCCCCGGCAGCCACCGTGCTCCTCTGAGTGCTGGGGGCTGGGGCTCGCTCTCTGCCCCTCGTTTGGGTGGGCAGAGCTTCCGTGTGCCATGCCAGTGGCTCTCGCCCCGTCCTGAGCGGGCGGAGGGTCCCTCCCGCCCGTGTTTCCTTGGCACTCGGGAGTGGAGTAGGAAGAGGCCCTGATCCCTTTCAGCAGCCCGAGTGAGGCCGCCAGGCCAGGCTCCGGGGCAGGGTTGGGGGCAGCGCCTCGGGGGGCGCCCTGTTCCGATGCAGCAGGTGCTTTCTCCTGCCCCTTCTACAGCAGCTGCTGCTGGCTCCTGACTTGGTCTACAGATGTGCGTGGGCCTTTTGGATTCCGTTTAGCAGGAGTGAGTGTTGTTGCCTCCCTTTTCTACAGGAAGACAGGCCATAAGCCCTTAGTGGGCGAATTGGAGTCTAATATTTATTACTGTCTGGACTGAGGGTTAGATCTGGCACTTTGATAACTGGAGACCAGCCAGACAGGATTGTGAAGACGGGACCGTCCAGCTTACTGGGGATGCTGGGCCTGGACGCAAACACGCCTTGTTCTGCTGCTGAGCTCATGGGCCCCAGGTTCCCTGGTTAAAACTGCATGCCCACCACTGACCTGGCACCCATCAACCCACTGAGTGATCCTTGGCTGTGCCCTCCGGAGCATGCGCACAGCAGGGCCTACCACCATGCGACTGAGCTCCCTGTTGGCTCTTCTGCGACCAGCGCTGCCCCTCATCCTGGGGCTGTCTCTGGGATGCAGCCTGAGCCTCTTGCGGGTTTCCTGGATCCAGGGTGAGGGAGAAGATCCCTGTGTAGAGGCTGTGGGGGAACCAGGAGGCCTGCGGAATCCTGATTCAAGAATTGGGCTTGACCAAAGTGATGAAGAGTTCAAACCCCGGATTGTCCCCTACTATAGGGATCCCAACAAGCCTTACAAGAAGGTGCTGAGGTGAGAGCTGCATGCGTGCATAGCCCCCGACCCCACTTTAGGGCTGCTCTAAGGCCTTGCCTCTGCCTTTAGTGGTAATGTGTGTTGGGCCCCGTGGAGCAATTCTTACCATTGTGGTTCTATTTCTTTTTCCCCGCTTCCTCAGTCTAAGAAAGTCTCACCTATTGGTGTTACATTAGTGCTGGATGTTCTTAGGGTAGGAATTGCATCTACTTCGTCTAGTCCATCATTAGTAAACCCCTCGCCAATGTCAGCTGTTCAGAGGATGCTTACTCCAGGAGCTAATTAATACTAATGAGGAGGTCTCTTGCTTCTTTTCTCACCTCCAACTACCTCATTTCTAGAGGGATGTGTATGCTATACAGCCTGGGTTCCTGAGATGAGGGAGTTGACCCTTGACAGACTGGTCTCTCCACAGGACTCGGTACATCCAGACAGAGCTGGGCTCTCGGGAGCGGTTGCTGGTGGCTGTCCTGACTTCCCGGGCCACGCTGTCCACTTTGGCCGTGGCTGTGAACCGCACAGTGGCCCACCACTTCCCGCGGTTGCTCTACTTCACTGGGCAGCGGGGGGCCCGGGCTCCAGCAGGGATGCAGGTGGTATCTCATGGGGACGAGCGACCGGCCTGGCTCATGTCAGAGACCCTGCGCCATCTCCACACACACTTTGGGGCCGACTACGACTGGTTCTTCATCATGCAGGATGACACGTATGTGCAGGCCCCCCGCCTGGCAGCCCTTGCTGGTCACCTCAGCATCAACCAAGACCTGTATTTGGGCCGGGCGGAGGAGTTCATTGGCGCCGGCGAGCAGGCCCGGTACTGCCATGGGGGCTTTGGCTACCTGTTGTCTCGGAGTCTCCTGCTTCGATTGCGGCCACATCTGGATGGCTGCCGAGGGGACATTCTCAGTGCCCGTCCTGACGAGTGGCTTGGCCGCTGCCTCATCGACTCACTGGGTATCGGCTGTGTCTCACAGCACCAGGTGACAGCCCTTTCAAGTCTGGCGGGGTCCCTGACAACTTAGTAGTGACTAAGGGATTGGTCTCCAGGCTAGGTGATGCTGGCTCCTTCCCAGCAGCACATGCTGCCTCTGGTTTGCCCTTCACAGATAGGGAGTATGCCTCTGGCTGCCCTCCTGCCCTCAGGCAGTCTTAGCCCCGGGGGCATCTTGTCAGGGACCCTGTGAGAAGATAGAAAGGTGCCCCTCCTCAGTCCTCCATCCATCTGCCCTGACACACGTACAGTCGTGAACAATCTGGGAATGTTCTAGAGATGGCTACGCTCCTGGAGAAGTGAGGTAATCCCTGTTCTAGCCCTGAGAGCTGCCCTGTCTCTGGGACTGGTATCGTAGGAGTACTCGCTGGCTCGTGGTGTTCATTCCCTGGAGAAACAGTGGGGCTCTCTGGGGAAGAGGGTACCCTTAGCTGCCTACTGAACATTCTTTTTTCCAAAATTGAGCAGTGAGGGTAAGGCCAAGGTTAAGGGGACACTGGACTGAGCCCCCGCTTCCTCTGTCCTTGCACGGCACCAGCAGTTATAGGGGTGAATGCCGGGTTTGGTCAGGGCTGGTTGAGACGGGCAGCCCTCTGTGTGTGGCACTGATTGGTGTGATTGGTCCCTCTAGGGGCAGCAGTATCGCTCATTTGAACTGGCCAAAAATAGAGACCCGGAGAAGGAGGGGAGCTCGGCTTTCCTGAGTGCCTTTGCCGTGCACCCTGTATCGGAGGGGACCCTCATGTACCGGCTCCACAAGCGCTTCAGCACCCTGGAGCTGGAGCAGACGTACAGCGAAATAGAGCAACTGCAGGTGAGCCGGGTCGGCTGGAGTGAGTGGCAGCTGAGGGGGAGGCTGGGGGGGTAGGAAGAAGCTGACCATACCTAAATTTTTTTTTATCCTCACCCGAGGATATTTTTCCATTGATTTTTAGAGAGAGTGGAAGGGAGGGGGAGAGACAGAAAGAAACATTGATGTGAGAGAGACAAGACACATCCATTGGTTGCCTCCCACATATGCCCCGACCAGGGCCGGGGATCAAGCCTGCAAATGAGGTACATGCCCTTGACTGGAATTAAACCCAGCATCCTTTAGTCCTCGGGCCAGTGCTCTATCCACGGAGCCAGACAGGCTAGGGCTAAGTGTACCTAAATTTAAAGCAGCTCCAGAGAGAAGGGGCTCTTGGGTCCAGGCCAATCATTAGGTGAGCTCCTGGAAAGACCCGGATGCAGTTAGAAGGGTTTGATGGTGAATTGAGAGGGTCAGGGCTCGGAACAGTGTGCCTCTCCACCAAGGAGGCCACAACCCCAAAGTCCCCTAATTTCTATCACTGTCCTAAAAAAACCATGGGTTTGAAGAATATTCTAGTTTATTGTGGGGTTGTCAGAGGTGGAGAACAGGTGCACACAAAGGTGTGTTCTCAGGAGGATGGGAGTACTTTGGGTTTTGGAGGAGGAGCCGATGAGCTTTGTATTTCAGGATGCTTTAAGGTCTGTCTGCCAAAGCACATTCCTCCCCGCCGGCCGCCTCACTGCATCTGTGTACAGGGAATGTAATTCATATGCCTACTGCGCTTATAGAGGAAGGATGTAAGGTACAGGGAATTGAGTGATTAGCCAAGGGGAACCCCACTAAGTGTCAGGACAGGGCGCAGAGCCCAGGCGGGTCAGGTCCTGAGGACGACCTAGCTCCCCCGGTTTGACTAACTATGTGTCCCTCCTGCCCTAGGCTCAGATCCGGAACCTGACCGTGCTGACCCCCGAGGGGGAGGCAGGGCTGAGCTGGCCTGTGGGGCTCCCGGCCCCGTTCACACCACGTTCTCGATTTGAGGTGCTGGGCTGGGACTACTTCACAGAACAGCACACCTTCTCCTGTGCAGATGGGGCGCCCAAGTGCCCACTGCAAGGGGCGAGCCGGGCGGACGTGGGCGATGCTGTGGAGACGGCTCTGGAGCAGCTGAATCGGCGCTATCAGCCCCGGCTGCGATTCCAGAAGCAGCGGTTGCTCAATGGCTACCGGCGCTTTGACCCAGCGCGGGGCATGGAGTACACCCTGGACCTACTGCTGGAAGCTGTGACGCAGCGTGGGCACCGGCGGGCTCTGGCCCGCAGGGTCAGCCTGCTTCGGCCGCTGAGTCGAGTGGAAATCCTGCCTATGCCCTATGTCACAGAGGCCACCCGTGTGCAGCTGGTGCTGCCGCTCCTGGTGGCGGAAGCTGCTTTGGCCCCTGCTTTCCTCGAGGCCTTTGCGGCCAGCGTTCTGGAGCCACGAGAGCATGTGTTGCTCACCCTCCTGCTGGTCTATGGGCCACAGGAAGGTGGCCGAGGGGCCCTGGACCCGTTTCTCGGGGTGAAGGCTGCAGTGGCCGAGCTGGAGCGACGGTACCCTGGGACAAGGCTGGCCTGGCTCGCAGTGCGGGCGGAGGCCCCTTCCCAGGTACGGCTCATGGACGTGGTGTCCAAGAAGCACCCGGTGGACACGCTTTTCTTCCTCACCACTGTGTGGACCCGGCCGGGACCAGAGGTGCTCAACCGCTGCCGCATGAATGCCATCTCTGGCTGGCAGGCCTTCTTCCCCGTCCATTTCCAGGAGTTCCACCCCGCCCTGGCACCACAGAAGTCTCCCCCGGGGGCTGGCCCTGACCCCCCATCCCCTCCTGGTGCTGACCCTGCCCGGGGGGCTCCCGGAGGAGGCCGGTTTGACCGCCAGGCCTCCGCGGAGGGCTGCTTCTACAATGCCGACTACCTGGCTGCCCGCGCGCGGCTGGCTGCTGAACTGGCAGGCCAGGAAGAGGAGGAAGCCCTGGAGGGGCTGGAGGTGATGGATGTGTTCCTCCGGTTCTCAGGGCTCCACCTCTTCCGAGCCGTGGAGCCAGGGCTGGTGCAGAAGTTCTCCCTGCGGGACTGCAGCCCTCGGCTCAGTGAGGAACTCTATCACCGCTGCCGCCTGAGCAACCTGGAGGGGCTGGCTGGCCGGGCCCAGCTGGCCATGGCCCTGTTCGAGCAAGAGCAGGGCAACAGCACCTAGCCTCGGCCTGCCAGGTGGTTCCCCTTTCTGCCTCAGCCCCAGGCGGGCAAGGCAAGATGGATGGAGAGCTTGTGGCTGTATTTTTTTTTTAAATAAGAAAATGTGATTAAAAGTGTCTTCTGCCAAAGTGATTTTAGGTCTAGGGAAACGGAGTCAGGAGAAGGCTCTGAGGGAGGGGCTGGGGAGTTTTCCCAGAGGGACCTACTGCCTCCCCTTCCTCCTCTCTCCCAGTTGCCAATGACCACACAGCTGCTACCAGATGAATGACCTTTAATCCAGTTCCCCACCTCCCACAGGTGGGCAGAGGGGTGCTGGCAGAGCCTGGGTCAGGCGGCGCTGGCCCGCGGTGCTCACTTGCAGAGCTCCTAGGTGTTGCGCACCACCAGCGACTGCTCCAGCTCCTGCCTGCGCTGCTGGATCTTTAGAGAAATAAGAGCAGGAGCAGGGTTACAGTGTTGCTGGTGAGTGACAGGACGACCCCAACCACCCGCTGCCCACCCTGGAAGAGCATCTGGGAGCAGGGAGGGCTCCCAGGAGGTGAGGGACATGGTGGAGTGGCAAGGGCGCTGGAGGCTGAGGAAGGAAGTTTCTCAGTGAGAAGGGGCCTAAGGTGCCCGGGCCCCATCACACCTTGCAGTAGAAGTAGCGGCTGACCGCTTCCTGAGACCAGGGCTGGTGGTAGAACTCAGCGCGGCGCTCCTCCTCAGGGTTGCCTGCCACATCTGTCATCACCTGGGGGGGAGAGTGGCATCAGCCCTGACCCGGGCCCTTCCCGCCCCTGTGTACAACCTTTACTGTCTTCCTGATATGCTTGTTTTCCATCCAGTGCTCCCCAAGTCCCCTTCACCTTGAGGTCCCGGCTCTGGGAGCAGAGCAGGTCTTGGATGTAGCCTTTGGGGTCTCTGGAGAAGCTTAGCATGAAGTCCCTCTGGATCTTGAGCTGGTTTATGGACTCAATCGTCTCATGGATCTACAGGTAGACAGAAGCTTTCACCTGGCTGTGGTGATGTGGAAGAAGGGGGAAGGGGGAGGGAGACACGAGGGGGAAGGGCTGCTGCTGTTCCTTTGAAGAACAGTCCCTCGGGCCCCAGGCCTCTGCAGTCCCAGGGGAGGGGGTGTTAAGTCCTTCATCTCTCTCTAGGCCCATGCGCGAGTCTATTCTGTCTGTACTCTGTCATTTCTGGGTTAACATCCCACTGCAGCTCTGGGCTCTGGCCCCACCTTACTGTCCAGAGCGCTGATCTCCTGCTGGTTGGCCGTGGACAGGAGGAAACTGCTCATCTGCCCCTTCAGTGGCTCCTCCACCTCCACATCAATGTCATAGCACGCCGTCTTCTTCTGGTCCGACGGGTCCACGCTGCCAGGAAGTCCAGCCCTTGGAGTTCACCTGCCTCCACAGAGGCCAAGGGCCCCAGGGCAGACGCAGTGGGGAGGGAGGGGGCATTGGGATGGGAGGGACAGGCAGGACAGGAGGAAATGATTCCCCGGTCTGAGGAGCAAGCCGGGGCCTCACCTGATGACGTGATTGATGACAATTGGGTCAGGGGGCAACAGCAGGGCTGTGAGGCGTTGGGGAATCTCAGAAAACTTCAGCCGGGGACAATCAAAAATCTGAGGCAGGAGGAAGAGGTCACTCTTTTGTGCTTGGAAAGAGCATAACTACAGTTCTAGATCCATCCTGGAAAGGCCACAAGAAGCCAGGAGCATCTGAGTCACAGGTCTGAAACTAGGGGCCCATGGGCTGGTGCGGTGCAGTGGTTGAGGATGGACCCTGGGTCTGCCTGCCTAGATACCAATCCTGTTCCCACTACTTACTCTGCAGCCTGAGCAAGTTACTTAATGACTCAGACCTCAGTTTCTTCATCTCTAGAATGGGGATAATAGTAGTATCCCTCTCTCAGGGTTGTGGTTAGAATTCAGTGCATCAGTACACTCAACGTGCTTGGAACATACCTGCCTGACACATGGTATGTGCTCAATAAACATCAACTGTTCTTTTTACTCCTCAGGTTTATCTGCTGTATTTATTTAAAATGTATGAAGAAGAATCTCTACTGCCCTGGCTGGTTGCTTAGTGGTTAGAGCGTCAGCCTGTGGACCGAAGGGTCACGGGTTCAATTCTGGGTCAAGGGCACATACCTCAGTTGCAGGTTCTATCCCCAGCCCCATAAGGGCACATGCAGGAGGCAACCAGTCAATGTGTTTCTCACATTGATGTTT